TATATCATTAACTTTACTAATCTACTTTTTGTATGAATAATTCATTGTAATATAAATTGAACTGCACCACATATTTGATATATATATATATATATATATATATATATATATATATATATATATATATATATATTAGGAAAAATCTATAAAATCTTGAATATCATCGGCGACTGTTTTCTCATTGATCCAACCATTAATAATCCAACTAACTTTCATTTTTTTTAATGTAACACAATAAATAACCTGGAGTTTTATATATAATACAATTATTTTTATCTAATTCCTTATGAATCCATAAGTTTTAACAACAGAATTGAATATAATTTGAGAAAGCGACTCGAAAGTTTGAACCCATTTTGATAAATTTTTAATTAAAATTTAATAAGTCGAATACTGACTTTGTGCTTATTCATGCGCATGCGTGAATAGGCGCTTTTGACTACGAATGCAGAAGTTATTCTGAAGTATTTTAATTTCTATGTGCCGGAATGTGACTGTACGCTTCTGTGTCAGTAAGCGCACAATTGTGTTTATGAAACTATTTCTCGATAAGCCTTTTATGCAAGTGACTAATATTTAATCAAAACCGTCTGTATGGGTACGTGGGTATGCCAATATTTATTTGCACAGGATTGCATTGGTATCTGTGCATGCAATTGTCTGAAGTGAAAACCTTTTACAGTTTTAATTATAATTTCATTGACTAATCTTTAAAAATGTCCCAAAGAATGATAATCACACAAGGTCTCCCGTGTCTCTGGTTATACGGAATCAAAGTTTATGTATCCGCTTTTCTACTGCTCGACATCCTTCCCACTTTGAATCAACTGCTAGAAAACTTTGTTCACTATATTGTTATGGTGTGATTAGTAGTTGGGTTGATCAATATATATAAATGCGGCTGCGTGTTTCAAGATAATCAACATCCATACATTAAATTTAAAAATCAAGGAAAAAAATCAAGCTCAGTGAACATTAATAAATTATTGTATTAACAATGGTATACAAATTTCAACAATAAGTATAAAGAAAGTTGCTTCCCTTTTTCCGTAATAAAAAAGGGTAAGTTTAGCTAATAAATGTTGAGTACAAAATTGAATGTAATTTAACTACAAAGTTCAATTGAAGTCTTAGCTAAATACAGAATAGTTCCACTGTTTTATCAGTGTAGAAAGATGTAATGTTCATGAGTGATATCAACAGGAATTAGTATGATTACTCGAATGAGTAATAATTAAGAATTAAAATGTTAATATAGCGCTGTGCCTTATTTTCCAAGAATTGAACTGCTACTGGTCTTTTGGTTGATAGCGAGATTCTTTTATAACGATGGGTAGGCTCCGGATAGCTTGGTCAGGAAATGGACCATCCGTGAAAAATATAGGAAAATTGATAATAAGTAAAATAAAATGGACCAATCCGTTTTCCTGATTTTTAGAAATCTACTAAATTTGAATTACTTTATATCTGGTCGATGGTTAAAAATGTCTATAATAAGTATCATGTATTTATTAACCACTGTAACGCAATGAGAATTTGAGAAAATGTATGGATATAAGCGGCGTGGCACTACAATATCATGCTATAACCAGTTTTTCCTTCTCGCTAGAATCTATCTTACACATTCTTTAAAATTTTTAAATCTACTATTCATTTATGCATTGAATATTGCTTTTTTTCTCATATCTGGTCTAGTGAGCCCATTTAAAAAAAAACAACCTGGTAAAATACAAAGAAAAATTTATTGATATAACTTTTTACTGCAATTTAGTTATTAAATCTGATCTGGTTTATCTTTATTAACAGCCATTTCTTCTATGTACGTCTGCGGCAAACTTAATCGTTTCTTCACTTCAATGAACTTCTACTAATTTTTTTTCTTTAAATATTACTATTATTAACGCAGCTTCATCATTGCGCCTTTTCTATAAACATTTTATACATCACGGTAATTGTTCTGATGAAGCTTTCCTTCTTTAGTACCTATCTATGGATATGAACTTATTGTTTGATTGATTCGTTTTCAGTATCAGTATAACAATAAAAGAACAAATAATTTTAGGTTCCAGATTTCCTTTTTTTTTTTTTTTTTTTTTTTTTTTGTACGGCTACCAAAGCTCATTCAGAATATTTTTTTTTTATCATTACCGCGGAATTTAACTGAAGTATTTTGAAATTGCTAAAAGTGTAACCGCAAGTTCTATTCTACTTTCTTTTCGAACTTCTCGCACTTTCAAATTATTCTTTACGATTAACTTGTGTTAAGGGTGGAATTCTCTTCCAGTTAACTTTTTCTGTTATACTAAAACCTTCACATGGAATAAAATTTAAATACCGCGTCAGTCGTTATCGTCTATCTCACTTGAACCCTGTTCTTTTATTATTCTTTATATATATCATATAACGTTTTCTCAGTTTCTTTCACTCAAAAAGAGGATTGCTACCTAAATGCAATAACCACACATTTATATGCGTTTTAGTGGTTTTGTTTTGCCTTTTGTTTTGGGTTTCCGAAATTGTGAGTTCATTATCAAAAAAAAAACAAGAGCCTATAAAAATAGATTTGTATTTTGGCAAAGCTAGCAAAAAACTTTTTAAAAAATTTCCACTTTTGACATTATTTTGGCGCGCTCGCGTTCGGTATAATTATGTAAATCAATTTGCGTGTATTGTTTATAAGTGACTGGTTTTTTTTAACTTGAAAAGTAGACAAAATATTGTTTTGAAATAAGAATTTTTTTTACGATACATCCATGAAAAATTTTGTATGTGAACGTTTTTATTGCTTCTCTTAGAATTCTTTTTTTTAATACCATATTCCTGATAAAGAAGAGAAGTACAGACTGTACAAATCGCTGAATCAAAACCAGAATCCTTCTTTTGTAATACATAATTCTCCTTCGCGCGAACAGATTCTTAAATTATATGAATGGGAAACGTGAATATTAACTTATGCTTTCTGTTGGCAGATACAAAGAAAACCATAACACAGCTTGATCTTCCATTGGAGTATGAACTGATTTGATTGTGTTCGAATGGGGCTAAGAAACCTATAGCAAATGAATGAGAAAACTCCTTGGCAAAATTTTCTATTTTTTCCATTCTCAGGAAAATGAGTTTTTTACAGAAAAATTTAGGGACATAGATAAATGACTGAATAATGATATTATGAGTTCAGGAATAAAATAATTTGTCCTCTTCTCGCCACTGTCAAACGAAGAAAAACAATGGCGTGGTTTGGACAAACTCCTACATTCTCAAGAAGATATGCTTTATTTCGAGGATGTTTTACATTTGACTGCCTGTGCAAGACCATCATGCAAAGTACCGTTGAAGGTGGACGTAACTAAAACCTTCGAAATGAATACCAACGCAAAAACTGGTTGGACAATTTCAAACAATGGACAGGTTATTTTGGCGCGCTCGCGCGTTATGACCATGAAAAGCTGTACCAGAATTGCTGATGGCTGCCGTTGATAGACCGTTGTGGAAAAACTCCTTGGCAATTACACCAGTTTGGCCACTGTCAAACGAAGAAAAATCGTGGTTTGGACATTCGAGGCATGACTGCCTGGATCCGCCCAACGAAAACTTTGGACAATGTCAAACAATGGAAGGTATGAGTCCAAGGGATGATGATGATGATGATGATGATGATGATGATGATGATGATGATATTTCTGATGCTCTAATTTTAATGTTCATTAAATCTGCAGCTGATGTTCCCTTCCTCATGTGTTTTTTTTTTTTTTCTTCTTTTTCTCTATATTTCGGAAGAAAACGTCTATTGTAGAGCAATGCGATATGCAAAAGTTTTCAGCGAAAAAAATGTTTTCAATTGTCTATTCAGTCTCCTATTTTGTTTTTTGTTTTTTTAACATCTCTTAGAACTTTACTTTATTTCACCCAATACAGACCCCAAGGCAGAAGGTTACTAAGTGAGATTGTTGTAAGGGAAGGAGAAAGTAAGAAGTGCATGTTATGAGGATATGTAAGATATATATATATCAGATGACACTATATTTGAAGAAGTTAAGATTGTAGTGGTCGCGGAAGCATTCTCCTGGAAGTCTGTTCCACAAAGTAACAGTTCTGCAGAAAAAAAACTGTCAAATGGAACATATTTCTTACCAAAGGAATACGAAGGCAGTGGGGATGATTTGACACCGTGAACATGGGAATGGGGGTTCTAGCTGTGAAGGTCCAACCTGGTGGGACAAAGGAATGTAACTTGTTTGAATATTTGCCGCATTAATAGTGAGAGACTAGCAACTTTTCGTCTGTGGCATAGGGGTTGCAAGATGAAAAAGATCATCACCAACAACGCCACGTAAACAAATTTGAACTCTGCCAGGACTGGAGAGCGAGGATTGAGCAGTACTGGTCCAGATATAGCAGCAATACTCCATTCTTTGTTTGATCTGATTCTTGTAAAGATGGAGCTTGGCAGTAGGATTTAGATATTTTCCGAAGTGATTCAATAAACCGTTAATTCTAATTTTTTTTTATTGTTATTTATTTATTTTTAGTTCAGCGAAAAACCAGAAGGGCCAACTTCCGCCGCCAGAGTGGTTAGAGTTGGAGGTGATCTTTAAGTCAGGGGATGCAAGTAAGAATTTTCACATTAAAATTAGTTCGCAACATTTTTTTTCAGGGAGGAGGCAAATGATTTTCTGGGGGTACAGACCCCACCCCGACCCCTTGGTGACGGGTCTGATAATAGAGACAAACATACAGCAGAACAAAGTAAAGATAAAAGAACAACCGATGAGATAATTTCCTTTTATTATGGCAAAAGAAAAAAGGTAAACTTACTGAAGAACAATTATTATTCGGTCAGACTAGCCTTTCAGTCTGTAGCGTTTAGAATCTAATTTTCTATTACAAAAATGCTAAGAGTCCCTGCCTTTTGGTCTCCTTTTTTCTTTTCTTTTTTTTTTTTTTTTTTTTTTTTTTTTTTTTTTTTTTTTTTTTCACGCTTGTCAACTTGCGCGAGGGACATGGCGACTTACTGTCTTACTGTTGTAAAAACCAACTACGCCTGTCCCTGTGACGCGTTCTCACACAGACTGACCCGTAAGGCATGCTGATGAACTAAGGGCATCTTATAGCCAACTTCTTTGCTATTTGGATAAAAGTGTGTTTGTGTTTGTTTTTTTGTTTTTTTTGTTGTTTTTTTTTTACAATGGATAGGTGCGCACGCTTGCATCGTAATTTAAAAAGAGGTGTTTTTTTCCTTCTTTCTTGATAAACACACTGCTGACGCACCAACACATACATATGTACGCACACATGCACTTAAAAAGCTAACTCCAAAAATCCGCTAAAAAAATAAGATACACGGTGAAAAAAAATGTAAGACAAAATTTTATCGTCAAAACTTTCGTGTTATTATTAATATAAAAGATCAAAGGATTTTTAATGTAATTTTTAAAATCTTTCTTAGACCCTTGGAACTGTAAGTTAAAAATCTAGCATCAGCGGGTCCAAAAATTTGTATGGGAAATTTTTGGATTTTTTGCGATGAAAAACATTGATTTGGAAATTATTATTTTCTTTTTTTTCAATCAATTCAATTCATCTCAAGCGATAATACAACGAAGACGGAAGGGGATAGTGGGAGTGAGAGAGAATTAGAAAACTTTTAAGGAACCGGAATCCCAGTCATAAACAGAAAACAAGAGATAAACGGAAACCTCTAGTCCTGCCCAAAAGACTCGGGTGCAAATATCGGATAATTGTCGAATTTTAATAAAAATTTCAAGACTTATTATTAGATTTTTTTTTTTTGAAACAGTCTTATTTTAGTAATATAATGTGTGTGTGTTACTGCCTCCACACACACATTTAATTATTTAATTTTATGAAATTTCGAGAAATTCTTTTTTGTTTCGCTTACTGTTTATATTAGTTATAAAAACAAGTCCTCGGAAAATTTAAATCATCGAATTTCTTTTGTCAAGCAGAACCACCATTGACAAAACGGGAACTTTTAAGAATGAAGATAAAAGTTAATCCTTTTAGTTGGGGAACTGTAAATTGGTTGCAAAACAATGTAGGTAAGCATGTTTGGTAAAGAGTTTTTTTTTTTTTTAAATTTTCCTGTAGAGCCCAATTTCTTTAATGAAATTTATGATGTTACTTGGATCAGTATCTTCAAATTGACCCTTTTATGTTATCCAATTTGTAGAATTGTTTCGGGTTTGCTGAAAGTTATAGCAATTAAGTAGTATATGTTCCTAACATGGGACACAGACTAGCAGTTCCTCATTTTTGAGTAAATGTTGGTGGGTTATATATGTGTGTCCTATACGGAGTCTGGCTACTACCACCTCCTCCCTCCTTATCTTTCTGTAACTTGTCTGTCTTTCACTAATAATTGTTTGGATGTTGAGCAATTTGTTGTTTTAACAGTTGTTCCATAATTGCTGCCATTAATGGTCCTGTTTATGGTCGGTCGGAAGTCGGTGTGTGGAACCTTTACATTTGAGAGGACAATGTTCAGTGATTCCTTTGCCATTCTGTCGGAGTTTCCATTTCCTTGTATACCAATATGTCTCGGTATCCAGCATAAGACTATTACAGCGTCTTTTTTCTTATAGTGTCAATCCTATTTAATAATTTATTTATTAAGGGTTCCCCATGTTTTTATTCTTCAGAGATGTGAGTACATATAGTGAATCTGAGATGATGATGAATCTATCTAACCCACTGGATTCTATAATTTCTAAAGCCAAGTGTACGGCTGAGGCTTCTGCACTGAAGATTGAGGCTTTGTCAGGCAATCATTTCTATATTGTTATGTTGTTATGGATAGCAGAACATCCATCTCTGCCCAAGATTTTAGAGACATCGATGTATATATGTTTAAAATTTGGGTGTGCTTGTCGAACATTATGGATTTCTTCCATGTAAACGGTTAAGTTAGTATCAATATTAGAGTATTTAGTAAGGTTTAGCAGTATTGTAGGGTGTTTCATTAACTAGGGTGTGTTTTGTTTTTTTGTTTTTTGTTGTTTTTTTTGTTTTTTTGTTTTTTGTTGTTGTTTTTTTGTTTTTTGTTGTTGTTTTTGTTTGGTTTTTTTTAGATGGTGGTATTAAAAAAGTGTTAGATTTATTTGAATTTCCCTGATGAGATTTTCTATATAATGGCGAAATGGTTTGATAGCATTTTTATCTTATAGCAAATAGATTTTTGTATTTAGAGTTAAAGGTACAATGGAAATCAGGGTTAGTTGAGCAGGATTTGAATTTTAGATAATATTGTAGAGCCAGTTTTTCTCGTCTCAATTCCAATGGTGCCTCATGGGCTTCAGCGTATAAACCCAGAGCCAGTTGTAATCCTGCATGTTGGATGGGTCAAGAGTCCTTAGGTAGGATTTCCGGGTTAACCCATATATGAAACTTCCGTAGTCCAGTTTGGTTCTTATTAGAGCTCTATATGATTTCACGGGTGATATTTGATCTGATCCCCAGTCAGTATTAGCCACAATCTGTAGTAATTGTAATGCTTTGAAGCATTTTTGTTTTATGCATTTTAAGAGGGGATAAAAGTATGTTTTTTTTTATCAAAAATGATTCCCAGAAATTTATGTTTGTCAGTGATTTCAATTTCTGTTCCTTCAAGTTTAAGGCCATTGTGCATCTTTTCAGATTGCATACATTTTGTTTTGGTTGGGGATTTAATTTATTTAGGCACACTTACAGTTGTCGTTCTGTAGTATGCCTATTTTTTTTTTTTTTTTTTTTTTACCTGTAGCAGAACAAAAGGTTGTCTATATATAATGAACTATCAACTCCTTGATTTAAGCAATTAATAATGTTGTTAATTTTTATGTTGAAATGAGTGACGGACAGAATGCAACCGTGAACTTTGAAATTTCTACCTGACAAAAAATTATTTAGCAAATTGGGCAATCTGCTCTTTAATCCAAGATTGTATAGGCCTTTCCATGTCTCCATGTTGTTCCATAGGCCTTTTCTAGATTAAAGAAAGTGACTACTGCGTGTTCATTTTTAATAAAAGCCACTTTAACGAATGTTTCTAGGCGGACTATGTTGTCTATGATGCCTTTGTTTCGGAAGTTGGTAATTAAACCGTTTCAGTCCTTTATTCACTATTCTTTTTAAGGTTTTGCATCTGAAACTTGTTAATGTTATGGGTCGGAAGTTTTGGGGTTTTGATTTGTCTTTATGTGATTTTGGTATAGGGATCACAGAAGCTTGCTTCCAACTATTCGTGAGTTTGCCCTTAAACCATATTTCACTAAAGATGTTTTAACAGATATTTTAAGGACTTTAGGGGGAATTGTTTAAGAAATTCATAATGAATTTCATCTAAGCGAGTTTATAAGGGTAAAAGAATGGTTGTAATCTTCTTCAGCTTATTTTTTTTCTGCATCTTGCTTAACTTTTTGGAATTGCTGTTTGTAGATTGCGCTGAAGGAATTTTGTTTAAAGCTTTCTGCAAATAGATTTGCAACATCCTTTTTGCGTGTTATTTTTATGTTATTTTGAGAAAGGTGATAGATTTTTGCCAGTAATATTATATCTATATCTATATACCTATATAATATCATATTCCAGACTTTGGTCGGTTGTCATGGGAGCTTATTTATGTACATGGATGTTATGGACATAGTTATGTCATTTATGTACTCTCTCCATGATTTTCTTTTAGCTTCTTTGATGGTTCTGCTTGCTATTGCTCTATTTAGTTTGAATAGATTTAAATTATGGGTTGTAGGTTTCGTATTAAATTTTCGTAGTGCTTCTCTACGTAATCATACTGCCTTTTTGCAATCTTCGTCGAACTATGGTCTTTGATGCTTAGTTAATTTAGTGTTTTTTGGTATACATTTTCTCGCAATTACTATTAATGTTTCAGAGAAATATTCAATAGATTTGTTGTCGTCTTTGTCTGTTAGTTTTTCACGGCATTGTTTTTTTTATATTCCCTTCATTCTGCTTTGTTTAGTTTCCATCGAGATTATTTTCAATCAGTTCTGAACTCGTCAATATAATTGGGTAGTAATCACTGCTGCATTAATCGACGAGTACTTGCCAACTGCAATCCATAAAAATAGAGGGGTCACACAGTGATAGTTCAACAGCTGAGTATGTACCTAATACAGGATGTAGATATGTATTAGACTCATCATATTATAAACATAAATCATTCTTGTTAATTACATTTTCCAGGTTTTTCATTTTTTTGTCCGTTAAAGTCACCTAATAATATGAATGGTTTTGTCTGTTAGTCACCTAATAATATGAATGGTTTTGTCTGTTAGTCACCTAATAATATGAATGGTTTTGGTAGTTCTTTTATTAGTTTATTTAGATCAGTTTCTGTTATAGGGTCATGAGGTGGGATGTAAGTAGAACATATGTTAACAGTTTAATGTAGGGTAGTTTTTGTAACAACTGCTTGCAGATTAGTTTCTAGAAGTATTTTTCTTTGGGGAATGTCATTTCTACTTAGGATTGATAGGCTCCCAAATGCCCTCTGTTGAGTGTCATGTATGTAATTATATTGAGTATAGTTTTTATTTCTATTTTATCATTTGGTTTTAGGAATGTTTCTTGAAGGTAAATGATGACAGGAAATTGATTCGTTATGAGTAGGAGGAGGAGTTCATTTCATTTTATTTTTAGCCTTCGTCAATTCCACTGTATCATTTTTGCATCATGCTTATGTATTAAGATGTTATAAGTTTTTGCTTGTTTGGCTTATGTTTAGTGGATGAAATGTCCATAATTTCCATGCTCTCTAGTCCGTTAGTACTTTGTTTCTTGTAATGTTTTGTTCTTTTTTGTTTCTGCTTGTCTGGTCTTGTTATATATTTTCTATTAGGTTCTTTTAGCGATCTTTGTCTGGATGATGATCGTTACCTTATTTGAGGTGGGACGGAGATTTGTTCGTCTATGTCCATTTCTCTTGGTTCTTCAGTGATGTACTGAGTTGTGTTATTTCTTTTATGAACCTTTTGTTTCTCTTGTGTATGTTTGGAGGGTTCGATTTCTTGAAGGATTTTTGTACTTTGGATTGGGGTTTTCCAAGTTATTATTTTGTACTTAAAGATTCTTTTTTGTTTGAGGTTGACAGGATAAGATTTGTTTTGACTATGGGTGCTTGGTTTATGTGTGATATATTAAATTTTAGTAGTTCTATTAGTTTTTTTAATTCATTTAAGTTTTTGGTTTCTTATTGTGTTTTTCTATGACATTTTGGTGATTTGTTATTTTAGTAATATTTGTATATGATGTTGGGAGGGAATTAGTTTCAACCTGTTTTCTAGCATCTTGAAATTAGATATTTTGTGTGTATTTTATTCTTATTATTTGCTTTTCCTTTTTCTAAATGTTACACTCTTTAGAATCTGCTGAGTGGTTTTGTTTGAAATTTAGGCATGAAAGAGGCCTCTCACAGGGTGACTTTTCATGATCAGTCTCAAATTCCCCACATGTTCATCAGACTGGTGCTCTCGTACATTGATCTAGTAGATGGCCAAATTTCTGACATTTGTGACATCTACAGAGATTAGGGATGTATGGCTCTACCTTGGATATTGTGTATCCTATTTTTATTTCTTTCGGTAATGTAACTTCATTGAATGTCAAAATGTATGTGTGTGCTTATTGATGTGCTTTCTTTTTATTTGTATTCTTTGGATGTCTGTTACACTTTGTATCTTAGGGTGGCATCAATTTTAATTTCTCCAAGTAAGCAGTGACAGTTCTAGGCATTTTATTACTACCTTAGAGGAGTTAAGAATTTGGTGTGGCTAAACCTTTACTTTCATGCCGTTTACTTGATTGATTTTTAGTATATTTTCTGCAATTTTTTATGGTTTTTACTTGAATCAAAAGTGTGTTAATTTTATTTCTTTTTTTTTTTTACTGATTTTGGTTCTATCATGGCTGACATAACCTTTTGTAACACAAAAGGTGACACTTTTATTATTTCACACTCTAATGTTTCTATAACTATAAAAATTGGAAATTGTTTTTTTCCTGATATTTCATTGTCACTTTCTGTCTCAGAGCTTTCGTACTGTCTCTTGGAGCGTTTATAAGAGACATATAATTTTGTTTTTGCATTCGCCATCTGTGCTCCCCACCCGCCTCGGAGTTCCTTCTTAAGGGACGCTACCAGAGGGGCTAATCCCATTCGCCCTGATTCGCTAAGGCTACACAGACAGTATATAGTCGTGCTGAACGTGGCTGCGGGCATTTCCCCACCATATCTACCCTAGTATGATGTAAGGATTCGCAGCCATGTTGTAGCCATTCTCGTTGGGCTATTCCATCCACCTGACTATCCCAGGTTGGGACTGAAGTGGCGTGTTGTGTAAGCTCCCTGTCATTTTATACCAGTCACTCAGTCACTAGGACTCTGTCCACGAGTGTCACGGGTCGCCATCCACGGCAAACAGGTGGCCCCGTTGAAGTTGATTTGTAGTTTTAAGGAATCAGTTTTCTTTTTGTAAATGTGTGCTTTACATATGCTGACGGGACCCAGCAGCAGTAGCAGCAGTTGTTCAAACAGTCCTTTTCAGGGCTAACTTGCAGCCTCCAGCTCACTCCTGCAGCTTCCAGCACTCCTGCAGCTTCCAGCAGTCTCCAGCTCACCGCTTCCAGCTCACTCCTGCAGCTTCCAGCTCCTACCCTGCAGCTCACTCCAGCAGCACTCCCTGCAGTTTCCAGCAGTCTCCAGCTCACTCCTACCGCTTCCAGCTCCTCCTGCAGTTTCCAGCAGTCTCCTTCCAGCTCACTCCTGCAGCTTCCAGCACTCCTGCCGCAGTCTCCAGCTCCAGCTTCCAGCTCCTCCTGCAGCTTCCAGCACTCCTACCGCTTCCAGCTCACTCCTGCAGCTTCCAGCACTCCTGCAGCTTCCAGCAGTCTCCAGCTCACTCCTACCGCTTCCAGCTCACTCCTGCAGCTTCCAGCACTCCTACCGCTTCCAGCTCACTCCTGCAGCTTCCAGCACTCCTGCAGTTTCCAGCTCACTCCTGCAGCTTCCAGCACTCCTGCAGTCTCCAGCTCACCCCAACAGCTTCCAGCGGCCTCCAGCTCACCCCTGCGGCGCTCTACTGACGTCCCGCTACCCGCTGACGATCTAATCCAGTGCCCACTGACGTCCAGCGCCCGTTAACGTCCGGACACCGTTCCCGAACAAACGACCTCTGTCGTCTTACCATCCACCGTTCGCAAATAAAGACACGATTTCCATCGTCTACAACGGACCATCTGCGTTTGTCATCCTTCCTTGCTATGCCATCTCCTTGCCTTTGTGTCCCCTATTTTAGTTGTACGGTCGATTGGCACTCACACCTCTCGGCCCGCTGCAACAAAAGAAAAGAAAAACATGATTGCAGTTTAGCTTCATGTCCAGGATGTGGATGCAGTTTAACGTCATTCCCAGGACACAGATGCAGTTTAACGTCATGACCAGGGCATATAAAATGAAGTGATATTTTTATCTACTGCATTTATTTTTTCTTTTCTTTTTTTTAACTATTTGTCTTTTATTCAGTATTTATTTTTTGATTTTATTTGATGAAATATTTAAATGGATCAAATCAAGTCTTTTTAATTATTTCTTTTTAAATTATTAAACCACAACGTTAATTTATTTAACATAAAATATATTTTGATCAATTCAATAGCCTACACTTTGTTTCTCGAGTAAACAAATGTTTTTTTTTATAAGAAACTCGTTTATAAGCAATTGTACTCACAATTTGATGCTGACGTCACTATTGCTTAAACAATTCAAAAATATAATAAAACTAAAAGAGTTACTAAATATGTCATTCTGTATTCAAGGATTCTATTTCTAATTCTAAATTCTGCTAGTTTGGTTACTTTGAAATAACTTTTTTGTTTATAGGATTCAAACATAAATAATTTAAGCAACTATTTAAGCAATTTGATTACTAATTCTTACACATAAATTAAGCAGCATAAGTATTGGTCAAAATTCTAAGTTGCTTATTTTTTTTAAATCGTGTAAACTAAACAATAATAATAATAATAATAAAAATAATAAATCTATTTTAGCGGGAGGTAACTCGTTTTTAAACAATAAGAGTTGCTTCCCTTGTATTACAAATTAAATTGTTTTTGTGAAACTGCATTTGTGTCATCCACTTAACTGCTTATGCTGCATATTCTTTTACAATGTTAAACCAAACATCTATTCAAATCATTTATTCCACGTCCCACTACAATTCATTGTTTAATTTAGGTTGTAAAATTGCTTGTTCTTACTTTTCTTTTTACTGTCTTTGATTACAGACTAAAAATAATGGCAATTTTTAGTTAATGTTATGCCTTGACTGCAAGCAACAGATGAAAAACAATTTACAAATTTTGTCACATGATATATTAGTTAAGTTGTTACATTTATTTTTAGTGTATGGAGAATTTTTCAGAGCACCCACGTCGCTACCAAATGTGACACGTGGTCGAGGTTTAAAGTGGGTTTAAACGGCAATACCGTGAGAAATTGCACAAGCCCCCTCAGCACTTCCTCTTACTTTTTGTGGATGCTTCAGGCGCCGGGCAATAAACCCAGCCCCCTCCTAAAGGAGAGGTACAGCCTTGTGGGGAGGCCCCCTTCTCGGACATTCAGGCCGGTAAATGTTATTTAATACTGTTTATTATAAACAGAGCATTTACTTAATACTTGTATCTATAAAAAGAACGTTAAACATAAAATAAAAATTAAAAATGTCTTTAATAAATAAATTGTCGGACTTTGTCCATTTCTTAATATATGACGTCATTTGTTTACATTTGATACGCCAGAGCAGTTATGAATGTACGAGATTCATGGAAGATTGAAGTTTATAAGCAGTAAATTCGACCTTTGTGGCCGATCGGTATAAGGCACGTCAGCGTAAATGACGGTTCCGTATAGGATGCAGGTTCGAATCCTGTCAAAGAACGAATATTTTCTAGAAAAATTTCTCGGACATTCAGAGGGGTCAATCCCAGCATGTGGCACCTTTGCAAAGTGCTTGAAAACCATACCACAGGTTGACCCAAGCCTTGTGAGTGAAATTGGATAGATAGCTGTTGATCATGCTAGATATCACACTCTTTCCCAGAAACTGTAACTAAGGTCTGCTCAGTATAATTGCTGTATAAGCCACAGGTGGGCTCTGTGGATGTTGAATAAAGACAAAATGCACCTGAGAAAGCGTCTGCAATAAGGATTGGCTAGTTTCTCTAGTAAACAGGTATCCTCAAATATGAGTGGCCAACTATACATACATACATATATATATATATATATATTGTGCATTCCAAAAGACAAACAATTATTAATCTAACTGGAATTTTATTGGCATGTTAAATCTGACCAACCAGATAATTTTCATGAGTTATAAATGTAATGGGGTTTTGAATAATATTCATTAAATGTCTCAATTTGTTTTCAATTTTAAGTAATGAACTTGCAGACATAAATTGAATTTATACAACTATAGACAAATGCGAAATCTGCCACAGCAGCTCAGCGAAACTACAAGTTGTGTGGTCTTCACAACAACAAATTCACTTTAGCGACTATTATGATTAATTTTATATAGCCCCCAATATTTCATTGTTTCTTATATGCTTAATAAATGTTTCTATGGAATACACTTTGTTTTTTATTGGGTTTTAAAAAATTGTGTGACTTTTGAAACACTTGGTATAATGCTGGTTCATTGGCAAAACATGTAAAAATAGAAGTTTGCCAAATTGTCTTATATATTTACCAATATTCTTGCCAACATTAGCATATTAACAAGTATTTGCTCTACTATGTCCCAGTTGTGGGATTTTTTTTTTATACATCTTTGTGTTGCTTCTGGCTTTCTAATCTTTTTTCTACAGGTATCACCCAGGTTATGTTGACCTCCAATTTTATATATTTACTTTTTCCTCCCATGTGGGTGTTATTGTTTATGAAGTCTTTAAAAACATTTTCCCCTAGTGGTAGGTATATAGTTTGAGGTTTGATTTTTCCATATTCATACTCTGAACCACCTGGAGATCACTCATTTTGTGAAACTTTTAACCAAAGGTCATTTTAGGGGTGGGTGGTGTAAATGTTAGCAATTTGGAATGAGATTAAGCCAAATTCCAATTTCAGTTGAGCTCATTGCATTCATTTTCACACAAATACCCTTGGTGAAAAGGTATGAATTAATCTCTTCTACCCCCCCCACACACCGAGTTATGAGTTAAATAGTAGGGCAGATTGAACTCTTCAGCTTTGTTTGTCGACTAGTCAAGGAGAAGGATAACTCATAATTCAATACCTGTTGGGCATGGAGCTAGAAACTCTATCCCATAAAAACTTACTTGTTATAAAATCTACATCAACAGCTAGCATGTTTTGCACTGTGCCCTATTGATCTTCTGTGGGGTCTGCAAGACTTAATAATGGTAGATCTGATTGATTGATTGACGTTTAGTTTATCAACCTTTTGAGGGTTATTTAAAGCTAGAACATATTTTGGGGTTGTAAGAATAATTCTTTTTGTTTTTGTTTTTTGTGAGTGAATATTACATTAACAATTTCCTTTAGAGATAACAATCACTTTTCCAGATACAAGTCCTACTATTTAACCCATACTTGGGGAGAGAAAAGATGGATTCATAACTTTCCCAAGTAAAGAACCTGATTGGAATTCAAACTTAGCTCTCCAATTTCTCACTTCAAACCACTATTCATTACACCACCCACACAACTTTATCATGACGGAGTAGTGTCTTTAGATATTTCTGGATATATATATATATATATATATATATATATATATATATATATATATATATATATAAACATAAAGATCCAGATTTATTGCTAAACAAACATAATGAACTAATTTTTAAATGCCGACATAAGAACAACCTAAATCTAACTAAATATATTTAGGAATAACTATATAGGAAGACTAATATTACATGATCTTGGTTTTTTGTTTTTGGAAATGTTGCTATGCACACATAAGTGCAAACACATAACTGTATGTATATAACTATGTAATTGAACTTGAACATTGATATGTCTTTTGATATGTATATGTAGATGCATTTATATGGAAAGATAGGCATGCATGTGTTATTTTTGTATATTGTGGGCACATTTTTGAAGCGGGTGGGTATGGTTATGGATATGTATGTATATATACTTGTATGTATATAGGTGATCTGCTTTTATTTATTTTTTTTTAAATATATGTAGTTATATGTATATGGGTGTATATATGTGTGTGTGGGTGGGTATGTAAGTATATGTATATGTGCGGATGTGTATGTATACAATTTTTTATAATTTCTATATATGTATGTGTGAGTGTGGGTGTGTATATATAGATGGGTACATGTATGTCGTTTCATAGTGTATGTATGTATGTATAAATATAAGAAGTTGTGAGTTCATATATATAATATGGGAGAATATAGATATAATAATGTAATTAAGTATGGATTTTGATATGTTTTTTGCATGCACGCACATGTGCGTGTATATATGTATATGTATATATTTGTGTGTATGTGTATATGTATATGTGTGTGTATATGTGTATATATGTGTATATGTATATATGTATATGTGTATGTGTGTATGTGAATATATGTATATATATATATATATGGATATGTATGTATATGTATGCGTGTGTGTGTACGGATATGTGTGTATGTGTATATTTATGGATATATAGAATATTATAAAAGAAGGACTTACAGTCCTGTTATTAGTGTTTTATCCCATTTTCTCATTTAATATTCTCCAATTGGAAGTGTGAGTTTAAAATTCTTTATAATATGGAGGAAAATTTTTTAAATTGATAATTTAATTTAAATTGAAATATATTACCCTTTAATAATCATTGTTGATGATAAAAAAATGATAAAATGATGGAAAATTTTTGATATTTAGGTAGGTGTTAATACATGAAGTTACCTGTGTATATCGGTACATGGGTACCTGTATGAGTGATTGCACATGTAAAGAAATATATATGTGATATTTGCATGGGTGTGTATACAGTATATGACAGAGCAAGATCTTTAATATTACCTTCAAATATTACCCCATATTAACTTAACTAAAATTTAAGTAAAAGAGATTACCTATCTAGAAACAGT